AACGAGAAAAGGCAAAAATAATTCAGCAGTGCTTTTACTCAGTCATTACCAGTGTGTGCCATTTGTTTTACTTTGTTTTCCATTCTTCTTCCAGACCATTCCAACCAACAACATTATAAACAAGAATTTTTGCCTCATCACCTTGCATGCATTACCCACAAGGTCCTCTGTCCTCACACCATATGAATCACTGTTTGTTCTAACACAGCTAATGTAGGGAGGGAGCCTCTGTTGTACATATCTTGTGATTAAACTGTTCTGTGGTCAGGGACGGAGACTAGCACATCACACCTAAAGGTTACTGGTGGAGTGGCTTTAGCTCCAAGGAACAAGGGTATTCCATTATTCCCAACATCTTTTATATCTCCATGGCAACTGCAACAACAACACAGAGAGAAAGAGAGAGAGAGAGAGACATACAGTAGTGGTCTCTGAAGAACAGAAAAGGGAAGTAGGCATAAGTCGTCTCAGCGGTGAGCTCACTGTACTTGACTGTTTTGCTGAGATCCACTGCTGGACCTTTGTGGTTTCCACCCAATTAGGCTGCAGTGGTGCAGAGGCCAAATGAGACCAGTTCCTATCACCATTACATTTTACAGTGGTGCAGAACATACACGATTATTAATACTTTAGTCATGCTGGAAAAAACTGACAAGATGCTTTGGATGTAATAGTCTGGGTGGATGTGAATATTCACACTCTCACGCCCACATCATGCCTCACAGCACAAAACCCTCCCCACATTCCCCTCTAAAATGTGCATGACATGGCCTTATAAGTTCACTAAGACAATAGCTACAGTGAGCAGTAGAACTCATTATAATGCATTCATCAAACATACAAGACATAAGCATTAAAAGTTAGCCTACGAAAAAAAAAGAGAAAAAAAAATCCATTTAGTACTGAGGTTGGTTAGTAAAGTTTAGCTTTAAACTGTTTTAAAAAACTGAGTCAAAACACTTTGGTTAAATGTTCACTTTTAGGTAAACTTACAATAGTTAACTCAAACTTTAAACAGACTTCATCTGAGGAGAAGACAGTCTCAACAAATGTACAACATAAACCTGAACAAGCAAGAAGTGTTTTAAGATCACACGCTATTAAAGCTAGCCCATAAAAATGATCTAACAGTTAGCCAAAGGACAGGAAAAATGCTATTAGCCTTAGTTAAGAAGTTAATATGTTTCCTGCCTCAGTGCAGCAGCCTCTGTGTCTTTTCCTTCTCCTTCTCATCGACCTGAACTATTGATGAACTGAACGTTTCGGTCAATAAAGAAGAGGAAGTGATTTTTGAGAAGAGCGGGACTGAAAAGAGAAGTGTTTTTACAGGAAATCCATCTGAGTGTAAACTCATGTATCAGGTGTTGAGGTTGGATGTAGTGAACGTTCAGAGACTTGTTTTTAACCTGACTTTGTCCATGCACCATCTCCCTCCCTCTGCTCTCCTCTCTGCAGACACACAGAGCTCACTCGTTAATGTTTAATGCTCACTCAGGAAGCAAAAACACACACTCACACAAAGACATGCACACACACACACACCCTCCTACATCCCCCTGGCGACGCCATCCTCATTACCAGCCCAAGATTTAACCTCTCACCCCTGGACCAGATGGCTGATGTTTTCATACAGGAGGGAGAAGAAATGAAGCCCACTGCTCAGCGTCGCTGCACAGGAAGAGGGGGACGAGTCTTTTGCAGGATGATGAAGGTGTCTGTCTGTCAACTGATAAAGCTGTTGGTAAATCAAGCCGGCTGCTGTGAATTTTAATTTTTGGTGTAAGGACGTCAGTCTTCATCAGATTTTACCGAGTCCCAAAACTGTGACGGACTCCAGAGCAGCTGCAGGTCCTCCCTAATAGGTAACATATTACCTATTAGAACTCTCAAGCTGATGAGTCCACAACACTTTTCTCCCAAAAAAATGTTAGAAATGCCAGTTTCTCTTTGGTTCAGGCCCAGCAGCAATGCTAAGAGTTAATCTTAGTAATATTTTGTCTTATCTAATATTTTGGTTTAGGATAACTAAATCTAGAGAGGTGGATATGTCATGTCAGTATGACATACATTACAAAGTTCTGAGACAGCAATAATTAAAACAAGGTGTCCAATTCTTAAGAATCAAATCCAAAGGGCAACGTCAGCAATGATGCTCTGACCTTTCTCTCCTTCATAACTTCCACAGACATCTCCAGAGGGATTTCCACTAGGGTTTTCCCGATTTACCATTTATTTTACAAACGATTGCCTTGATACCAGTACTACAAACAAAAAGTCTCAAAACTGAGCCGAATACTGACACCAGTATTGGTATCTGTGTATCCACAATTTCCATGTACAGTATTTTTAACAACTGAGACCTCTGCAATGGGTCTTGGAGGATGGGCCTCATTGATTATGACCATCATCCCAGTAAGGCATCATTAGGATGCCTTACTTATGCTTATACCATGCTTATATATGCTTATACCTGCTTATACCAGTTCAACCTGGTCCTCGCTAATGCTTATACCAGTTCAACCTGGTCCTCGTAGAGCACAGTCACGGAGCCCAGATGCAAGAGTTTAATATAAGAATGTCCTCAGCATAGAATAAAAGTATATAAGTGTAAAAATAAATTGACGCTGCCTGTGATTTGATGCAGCACTTCTCTGTCGCTCTGTTTTACTACAAAGTACTTGTCACTGGCTTCTGATTTGCAGAAGCCAGTTCTTTTCCGTCCAATGGCAGCAGATGTGCGGCCAGCGCTACTTATCAAGTCGCCCCCGTAAGAGGTGACAGCCTTCTTGAAAGCTTCTGCCAACAACACTCCATGTGTTCATTTCGCTGCCTCTCAAACCGCCTCCTCCAAAGACTCTTGCCATCCTCCCGCAGCAATGCCTTCCTCCTCCTTTGCTCTCTCTGTCTGACACACAGACCTCTGTACGATATGCACTCTGAGGGTGAAACAGCAGGAGAGACGGAGCACAGTGATGGAGACAGAGAGAATTTTTTTTTTTTTGTTTGGCAACTTGCTCTGTGTCAGACTCAGACTCGGAGGGCACGGCTGAGGAGATGATAGCGAGCTGGGACTCGGTGTGGTCCACCGAAAGAATGGCTGCTAATGTTCAAGCACAACCACAACATGCACATGTGTGTGTTCTCTTTAATCAGAGAGTGAGCGAAGCAGAACAGAGCAGCGGGTTAAATCAGGGCCGTCTCTGTTGGTCTGACCAACTCTAGGCTGGCACTGCTGTCATCTGACTCCTGCTCTGTAACCAACTCCTGATGTTGACTCTGTCTCTGCACTGAGGATGGACGTCTCTCTTCATCTTACTGTAATCCTCTCCTATTACCACCACAGAGGCCCACCTGAAGCTCGTCATACGCCACTGCATTCAAACCATGAGCTGTGAGTATAACATGACCATCAGCCGTACATATACCTCATTCCCACAACATTTTCCCAGAGAAAGTTCTGGTCTATAGACTCAGTCCAGCCCTCATTTTAAACTTCCTTTGATAATGAACTCCATCATTCCATTCTTTCTTCATCTGTCTCTCAACTCCCCATGCTGTGGATTCCCCCCCACTTAACCCAAATACCTACAGGGAAACTGGTCACCAATAGGATTAAATTAAACTACTAAGTATACTGTATTTAGTTTTTGTTCTTGCAGTCACTGTACATGTAGGACTGAGCTATCGCTGAGCAAACAGCAACACTCACAAATGCCACATTGAATTAACAAAGAAAATTCTCCAGTGATTTTTTCAAGAGTCCAGGTCTTAGTTAGTCAAAAAAGACCAGATACAGCTATATCTCAGTTTTAAGAAAAAAAAGGAAAAAAAGCATACCGTGTTTTACTTCAAATACTATTTACAAACTAGTTGGTAATTATCATGTCAGCATTGTCTGACGAAATTCTCTTCATTGTGATAGTGACCTGACTTAACTTTCGTGGGTATTTGCTGACCTCTGCTGGTCATAATTGGAACCATACCAGTAGACGAGACGTCCAGCAAAATAAACATTCCTTACTTTTTCTTATTTGCTTTTATAAGCTTTTGGCTGACAACGTAATTTAATTTTCTTGGCCACGTATGGTGTATTTTTTAAGATATTTGTTTGATTCACAGTAATTCTAAAGGAGTAATTCTAAACTACAAGTACAAGGAATAGAAAAAGAAGATGAAAAAAGTAAAAAAGTAGAGAAAGAAGACAAATATGGAAAACATAGGAGAAAAGAAGAAAAAAGAATAAGACGTAGAAGAAGAAAAGTGAGGGTGTCAAACAAGCATGATATTGAACCTTAGTACCTGATAAACTACATTGTTTGTAGCCCATTATGCAACATTTATGCATATTTGCTCTGTTGTCATCACAAGAAAAAAAGCCAAAAACCTGAGAACTGCCACTGAAAACGAGTTAGCAGACTGGCACAGTGACTTTTATTTGTTTACCTTGTGGGTTTGTATTCAGTCACCACATTCCGGCAGTGAGTAAACAACCAATATCTGCAGCATGTGTGGGGACAGCTGTTCTACAGACTAGTTTCTGTGGCCCCCGGAATGTAGTAAAGCAGGAGAGCAGACAGGAGAACCCATCACTCAGTTCTATAAAGTTTCTCATGATGTGGTGTAGGTTACCGTCTGAACCGTGAGGTAATGGGAAACATTAGCAGGCGTCAGATAAATCAACACTGCATCATGAACATGTAAACGTCAGGTCATCATGAGAGGTGGGCAGGTGCACCATGTAACAGATACTGTGATAAATATGTACACATATAGGTGTATAATATATGTGCAATTTCATTTTAACAGTATATATATACATACTATATGTCTATATAAATGTTACATATATATGTATGTATATACTGTATACATATGTAATATGTTTTTAACATTTTTAAAAATAAAAATAGACATATCCAAAACACAGACAAATGAACCAATAATCTATTTTAAGAAATCTAAAAACGTAGTCAAAAACGTATTTTTAAAAACTGACTTACATGAAGTCCAATGTTTGGGGGTCCATGTAGAACATTCAGTTGACCTGTTGCTAGTTGTCTCCAGACATGCGTCCTCTGGCGCCCCGGAGGACCAGTGTGCGTGGTGTTGCCTTCACGTACTACTGGGAATAACATACCACCGAGTAAATGTAGGGCACTTACAATTACCATAAATACAAAAATAAACACATTTCGGAGGGAACTAATCAAGGCAAAAAGACAAGGCAATTGATGGTTAAGTCAGAAACTCCAGTTAACATTGCTACATAGCGAAATTAACACAACCAAAAGTTATTCTGGCCATTAATACAATAATACTAAAAAACAAAATCATATAGTTAAGGTTTAGCTCAAATTAATTAAGATGAACCCAGAACAACTTAAAACCTGTAAATAACCTCAAATACCCACAAAAAAGATACATGCGGCTAAGCTAGCTAGCTAAAATCCGTATTTTGAAACTGCAAAGCAAAATTAAAAGTCAAAAAACGTACAATTTCCGTCGACTGTACCTATTTCTTCATAAAGACATTGCTTGAAGTAAGCAAACTGACATGTTCAAACACAGACTCGGTGACTTTAATAAATTAAATATTAGCCAAAATGTAATTGAAATGGTTTCTTTACAAAAGCCCCGTAATTGATATTAAATTCACAGAAAAAAAGATAGGACAACATTAGTAAGAGAAATTGGTAAAATATAACTTACGATAACTTACGTTTATTAATTTATAAGAAGTATATTTATAAATTAATAAACGTTTGCAATACGAAAGATTAAGGTGGACCCAGAACTAAAAACCTGTAAATGATCTCAAATACCCACAAAAAGATACATGCGGCTAAGCTAGCTACTTCACAATGCTAAAATCCGTATTTTGAAATTGCAAAGCAAAATTAAAAGTCAAAAAACGTACAATTTCCGTCGACTGTACTTATTTCTTCATAATGACATTGCTTAAAGTAAGCAAATTGACAAGTCCAAAGACAGACTCGGTGACTTTAATAAATTCAATATTAGCCAAAATGTAATTGAAATGGTTTCTTTACAAAAGCCCCGTAATTGATATTAAATTCACAGAAAAAAAGATAGGACAACATTAGTAAGAGAAATTGGTAAAAGATAACTTACGAGTTAGGTCTAAAGCAGCCAAATGTCAACGAAACTAACAAAAATATATTTATAAATTAATAAACGTTTGCAATACGAAAGATTAAGGTGAACCCAGAACTACTAAAAACCTGTAAATGACCTCAAATACCCACAAAAAGATATATGCGGCTAAGCTAGCTACTTCAAAATGCTAAAATCCGTATTTTGAAATTGCAAAGCAAAATTAAAAGTAAAAGTAAAAAACGTACAATTTTCGTCGACTGTACCCATTTCTTCATTAAGACATTGCTTAAAGTAAGCAAATTGACAAGTCCAAAGACATACTCGGTGACTTTAATAAATTCAATATTAGCCAAAATGTAATTGAAATGGTTTCTTAACAAAAGCCCGGTAATTGATATTAAATTCACAGAAAAAATGTTAGGACAACATTAGAAAGAGAAATTGGTAAAAGATAACTCACGAGTTAGGTCTAAAGCAGCCAAATGTCAACGAAATTAACAAAAATATATTCATAAATTAATAAACGTTTGCCCAACGAAAAGATCAAAGCGACAGCTTCCGTTAGTAATGAGTAAATAAGTTATGTGGATTACGAGTGTAACGTAAACGCCCCATCCCATTTTTTAGAAGGGCTGATGTCACTTCAAAACTTAACTCACTCTTCTAAAGTGAACGGGGCGACGGGTTCGCCTCCTTACACTCTCCGTTAGGTTTCTGCTCGTGTGCTGTGGATCATTATTATAGAAATAACCAACAAAAGGAGGCGGATGTTACTGTAAAAACAACAGCAACTCTTACAGAAGTAGCGGAGCAGACGGATATATTTCACCACAGAAAATCCGAGACTGGAGCAGAGCGGAGGAGAGCCTCTTCTCTCTGTCTGGGGGTGAAGGCGGCTGATTTTTTTTCTCTTTTTTTGTCTTTTTCTACAAAACAAAATCCGCTGCAAACTCAATAAGACAAAAAAATGAACCGCAGCTTTAATAAATCACAGCCTTTGCGGAATGCAGACTGCAACGCTGTGGAAGTGAAAAGCAAGGTGAGTGTGCAAGCGGGGTTTTTTTCTTCTTCTCTGCGTGCATGTGTAAAGATTTAGGGAGAAAATCGGAGTTCACATGGTCGGAGCTGGAGTTGCTCGAACAAACTGTCTGTAAACTAGGGTACAGTTACTTTCTTAGAACTGTTGATGTTATAAATCTATTTTCCGACTCCAGAACCAGCACTTAAACGCAACTCTTATTGCCTGTTTTTCCTATATAAATTGTACAGATTTTCTTCTTCAGACCAAATGATGACAACACTAACCCCCCTCCCTGTCACTGAGCTGCTGAGCAGTGAATTTTACTTTTATCTATCAATTATTTAAATCGATTTATTTGAAAATACGGCATTCACCTCTCAAACTAAACTTGATTTTCGTGTAAGAAAACTTGACATGCAAATAAATCACTTGCCAATATCACTTAGTACAATTAGTATAATCGAAGAATCATCGATGAGTACATAAATTGAAAATCTATTTGATATTTCTTTGAGTTTGTTGCTTGTGTAGGACAGTAGAATAAATATTACAAAATTATTTATTCTATCAAATTATTTAAAGAACCATTTATCATTTAAAGAAGAGCTAATATTTGGTATTTATCAATTATTCGTTACTCGTGACTGTATTTAAATAGTCAACATGCATGAACCTTTTGTTGATCAGGTAAAATATAAACAGAAAGATGTGCTTCCTTGAAAATAAAAAAACTCTTCTCCAGTCTTGTAAACATCAACTATGAAGCCTGTTCAAGGCATTCAATCACCCATATGGACCATGTATGTGTATATCTGTATCTTAATGTTAAGCCTTTGAATTGTCTCTAATCCAGGAAAGGTTTCTTTTCATAGTCTTGTGCATATTTGTCTATTGGCATTGTGTAAAGATTAAATCATGATGGATAAATGCACACTGTGTAAAATCCTAACCACAAAATACTTACTGGAACTATTTATAATTTAACCAGAAGCCTCTGGTTGGACTCTTTAACTTGTTTTCTTTTTTTAAATCTAGATCCAATCTAAAACTGCTTTAGTCACCTGGTCTTTTCCACACAAGTGTGTGCCTGCACATGTGTGAAAGGACGGGCTTCTGAGTCACACAAGACATGACAAGTTGAGATTTGCAAGAGCTGATTCACTCAGGTCAGAGGTGACGGCTCAGTTTCAGTGCAGAGGTGGGACACTGACCTGGACATGCTGTGGGACAGACAAAAAAAAAAGTATTAACATGGCTTGTACTCTCAGACGTTTCTCTAAATCTGACCAAATCCTTTTTAGTGTTTTTTGTCAGGATCTGAGTACAGTCAGGATTTACCGCCTCATTGCATCATCACTGGAGAGCTGACTTCATATGCAGTATAACGTCACTGGTTTCTGCTTTTAGATCAGAAATAACTTGCAGTACTCACCCATAAGTAGATTATAAAATTGATTCTGTTCATTATTTCTGAAATACTCGCAAACAAAAGAGAAATACATTTGTTGTGGTTGTGCCGTCTGTGTCCCATAATGATGTCTGGTGTGATTTTGGTTCAGTCATTGTTTTCAACAATCACACTTTGTCAAATTGATCCTATTAATGATAATAGCTGTAATGTTTGCTTTTCCCAAACCTGTTGTTTGAGTCTGGTGTGGGCTGTGTCCCAGGTTCTCACTGGGCCACGTCAGGTTATATCAGGGGAAACTGTGGAGGTGATAACCTTATCAAAGATAACACTAGAGGTGTGTGGCCGTCTGTCCTGGAGCCTCGGTCGGGAGCTGGTTTCACTCATGTGAAGCTCTAATCAGAGACGGGGGCGGGGAGGTATGTAGAACTAATGGGGGGCTGGGCTGATGTGTTCTTATCTTCACTCCCTTCTACCTTTGTATCAGTGATGTCCGGCTCAGGTGTCAAGTCTCAAAAGGCATTGAAATCATAATTCGAAAAAATCAGAATGAACTGATAAGAACATTACTGATTAAATGTTTGAAGTATTTCCTGTTCCGACTCATACTCCGTTTTTCCTCCGTAAACACAGTTTTATCTGTGCTTCTCGGCCACCATTTCCTTTTCAAACCTCTGTTCATTTGATTCCATTTATTATCTTTTCTGTGTGGACAAAGCCAATACTGAAGAAACACAAACACAAGTCATCTTCCATTTCCTTTGGCTGTGTCAGAGTTTAGTGTCTCTCGACATGTTTCAGCCTGTTGACATCACTCTGCTCTGATAGGCCAGGAGGATGGGTGATGTCATGCTGGTGAGGATGTACTTCAGGGTTTGAGAGAAGTTCGGAGGCTTGTAATTAATCATGCCATGTTGAGACTTGCATGGACCTGAGGGCCATGTTCTGCTGGTGAAAACAGATTGTTCAGACTGATCAGTGAGTAAGAAAACAGTCGGACCACTGCTGTAAAGTGCACTTCTAAACCAGAGGTAGAGTCATTTATATTCCATAAAATATTAGAAATAAAAACATTCAACAAAGCCTTTGCAAATGTTTATTACACTCAATTCTAGCTCGACTCTCAATTTTAGAGGTGTGAAGGAACTCCTGTTGTGCAGACAGACCTGTCGGACAACTTCAGGTGCCAAATGTGGCTTTTGATTTACAATCATGTCACTGTGAAAAACCAGGTTTAGATCCAGCTGTTTCACACTGAAATCAGCAGGTGTACACAGGAGTATTTGAACGAGGGTAAACCTGTGGCTTATGTCACTGCTGCTGAATTATGTCACAGTCTCGCTTTTTCCCCCCACTTAAATCATTTTTACTAACACTATAACATTAACAACATAATTGTGATGTGGAAGTCAAATTCAACCCATCAGGTGCTGGGATGCTGCCGCTTCTACTGATCTCACCCTCAACTAACTAAAAACATATAGCAACCATAATGTCAGATTTTTTAAAGAAGTAGAAGTGAGTGTATATCTTAACAGACAAAAATGTTTTTCTCGTTCTTTCACTGTCACTAATATAAATGAAGAGTGAGGTTACTTGGGTCTTGTCTTGTCTTTACACTGATCAGAGCTTAAACATTCCTTAACCTTTAGGTCAAATGCATTGCAGGTACTCTGCTGAGTCATTTGACCTGGAGGGTAATGCTGATTTAAATCTTTGAACTGGTTAAAAAGTCTTGAAACTCAGGGTTTATTTGAGCATTCTGAAAGGCTTCCAGTCTGTGGCTCCACAGCGTACAGTTACTGGGTCTGGCAGACCCTCTGTCTCCTAAGATGCCCCCTCTTCAAATCCATGTGTCATCTTCTAATTACAGAGCTGGTTAATGTACTTCCCCCTCTCCTCACCCCCACACTTCTTCTCTCCCCACCCACAAACTATACCACTACTCTCCCTTGTGTTTCTCTGTCAGCAGTTTTCTACTGCCTCACTACCCTCCCTCACACTTCCCCTCCTCTCCTCTCCTCTCCCCTCCTCTCCTCTCCTCTCCCCTCCCCTCCTCTCCTCTCCTCTCTTCTTTACTCCTCTCCTCTCCTTTCCTCCCCTCTTCACTTCCCTTTCCTGTTCTCTCCTCTCCTCCTCTGCAGTGAGCTGATGATTACAGTAACAAGCAGCACCATTCAGTCTACAAATTACCACCGGGGTTCCGACTCTGCCGTACCTCACCCCTATCTCCCCTCTTCACATCCTTGCATGTCTATAACTCACACACACACGATGACCCCGCCGTGACCCACAGCTGTGCTCTCATTGGTGGTTTGCTGACCCCACCGGGGAAGGCTGTGACACGATTGTTATAGACGGCTTTGCACTTGTGGGAGGGGAGTGGGAGCTGCCTGTTGCTGTCATTCATATATGCAGCAACACTGACGTACAACAAGCATAGACTTGTCAACAAGTGGATGAAATTAAGGAGGAAATTTAAAGTGTTGAGAAATTTTGTTGAGAAAGTGTTGAGAAATTTTTAAAAAGTGTGGGTGAGGTTGATCAGCTCATTTATCTTGTTGTTCAACCCTCCTACATAAAATGATTGATTGTTCTTATCAAGTATGAATTTCATGATCTCACACAGCCTTGATAAAGATTTCAAATCAGTATCTTATTTGCTGATGAGCCATAGATTTTCACAATATTCCACATCAGAGAACTGCTGATACTCTGTTGTTTTTATGAGGAACTGTATCGGCTCTATTCTTTCTAGTTATTGTTTTCTATTTTTATCAATGTTTTTCCATTGTTTAAAGGCTATTTTAGGTCATTTTCTGGACAATGTAGTTAAACATTGTATCTTTGATAAGGGCACTGTGTGCTACAAGGCCAATTTTGTCCATTAGCTATTTCTTAGCTCCTTGATTATCTTTTCTGGCTATCTTTTAGCTAATTTGGGTAATATGCAAAGACTTTTCCAAAAAAAGTTTTTTTTAGAACATTACTCTTTGTGGTACCTCTTAGTATATGAATTGGTTTTTATCTACTACTGGGTTCACTTTAGTTTCTTCAAATTAGTTCGCTTCGTGGTGTTGCATTTGTGAACCTTGTTACATTTTTGCTGACAACTTATTTTCTTTGGAACAATTGTACATGAAGTCAAGGCCACATTTTCAACAAAGCTCTGAGGATTTCCACTGTCTGACTTCATGGTGCCAGTTAACTGCTTTAAGTGAATGCACACAGTTATATGTCTCCGTTTCCTCTTCCTGTTTGGCTGTTAGAGCGACCGTGTCTTTTAACATGCCCTGTCCTTTGATCTTGGTTTTCTCTAGTATGGGGCAGAATTCCGGCGGTTCTCAGTAAATCGCACCAAGCCTGGCAAGTTTGAGGAGTTCTACAAACTTATTCTGCACATTCACCGCATCGCCAACATGGAGGTGATAATTGGCTATGCTGACGTCCACGGAGACCTGCTACCCATCAACAATGACGATAATTTCTGCAAGGCAGTGACGACGGCTCACCCGCTACTTAGGATCTTCATACAGAGACAAGGTAAGAGGTTTAACGATGTTTTAAAGACAGCATTACTTCAGTCTGAATCACCAATGTTTCATTTTTAGCTCATTATTCTGAGCACTTAACCTAACATCCAAAAATGTGCTGTGTGAGGGTCTTTTGAAGCATTTCAGGGTAAGCAAATACCAACAAAGATTAATTTTTGGGTACTTATCCAAAAATAGTTACATCGAGGGCAACAGGACAGAGTAGGTAAAAGGTAAAAAGGCGATCAGTTTGGGATTCTGCACGTTAACTGTGAAGACAGTGGTCCCATGAGGACAGATCGTCACAAAGAGGCAGACCTCTCTCATTGTGAAGCTTGGCTTTTTGTCCATGAATGAATGCCTCCACCACCACAAACACCAGCAGCAGCTAGTTAAAGCTAAATAGAGAGCAGAGGGGGAAATGGTATTCTAAGGATTGGGGGAGAGTTGGCTTAAAAAGGAGACTTACTCAAATAAAGCAAAAGACAGATTCTTGTTTGAATATCTTGCAACTTGTTAACCTGTGAAACAATCATCTGTTGTATGAACTGCATCTCAGGCTGCAGTTATTGTCCCAAAGTGGAATCAAATTTCCCCTCAGAATATTTCCTCATCTAATTATGTCGCTCTTCCCGCTTTGGGATCCTGAGGCCTTTCTGTTTACTTTTTGCTAGGTTTGTGTGTGTATGTGTGTGTGTTTCCTGCCCTCCTATTGGCTGAATCAATCTCAGTCTATCTGTGTCTGCTGGACATAAGTCCTCTGTCTCATCCAGAGGAAGGCTTGCAGGCAGATGAACACACACACACACACACACACACACACAGACTTGCACACAAGACGGTGCCTCTGCAGCTCCATTGAAATCAGGTCATTGAGCAGAGCCTGTATCCCGGCATACCAGACATTACAGAGAGACAAAAGATCTGTATGAAAAGAAAGACTCCTTACTGAGCTCCCTCCACGACTGTGTGTGTGTGTGTGTGTGTGCGTGTGTGTGTGTGTATTTGTCCAAAGACAACACCACAGTAAACTGAATGGGAACCAAGTCCCACAGCCACATTGATCCCAGTTCTGGAGTGGGTCTTGACAACCTGCCAGTGGTGCATACAAATGAATCTATCACCATTCACGTCTTTTTCTACCCACAATCCTTGGTGGAATGTTCTTAGCGTGGTTGTGTAATGAACATGTACACTCAGAGGAATTGTTTAAATTGTGTTCTAGTGTTTTGGACACAAAAGCTTTCTATGGTGTAGTGAATGATCTTGTTGCTAATTCCTACTAAGGAGTGAGTTTTGAATTTCCACAGGAGCTTGTGTAAACCTGTATGCAGTGTGATATGTGCGACTAAACGTTGGTCTTAGAATTGACATAAACAGTGTGCACGTTACTGAAGAGGAAATGCTAACATAACTTTTTGTTAAGTTAAGTAGGATTTGCAGAATAACAACCTTTAAAGCAAAAAACTAGCCGTGTAAAGATTGTTGGTGGAACACTGTAATGTTGTGCTAACATCTGTTTCTTTAAGAAAGCAATTTCAGAAATTATATATTATTCCATTTTTCAATCTGACTTGGCTTCACTGTAGGGCAAACAGACCAAAGTCATTACAGGTAGAAGCTTTTAAGTGATCAATCATTTTACTCATTGGGATAAAGTCGGCAAATAAAAACACAACTCTCCTCTTTCACAGAACAATATTGCAGTACCTTTAGTCTGATGGTCTTAGCATCTCCCACAGAGTTGGTCCTGCTCGTAATACAAACTTTACTACATTATAATCAATGAGTGCTGGTTGGTCACAGGTATAAATAGAAAATGATGAAAACACAGCACATGACAATCCTCTCCTGAATTCTGTCTCGTCTAGTTGGACATCATTAGCACTCCGATGGCGCCTCCTTCGACGATATATTTACCAAGCATGATTGTCAGGACGTTTATCTCCTTCTCACTTTCTACTATGCTATCCAACCCAGGAGAAATCCTGGATAAACACCTGAGGGTTACTGTGATCCCTGCAGACGGACAGATTTGAAGCTGTCTTAAGACGAGTCCTGATTTAATGCTGTTGTGGTGTAAACACAGCGCTGACATGGTGATGTGGTTCAGGGGAATGTGCCATGTTGTGACTGATGCTGCAATAGAATGAGCATCATGAACCTGAGCACTGCGGACTATTGTTAGCTGCCAGACAAAGAGGTGTGTGTGTGTGTGTGTGTGTGTGTGAAATGGTTCCTCAGCCCAGTGTGGTACATGTACGAGAAACCACTACATCTGTAATGTATCAGCATGTACCAGTCTGTTAGCACAGGTCATCATCGGTGTCGGTCAGACCACCCCAGAGGAAAGAAAGGGCTTCACAAGAACCGTGACTCACTCTTCACTCATAGCCGGCACCTCCAGTGGAACCTAAACTGCTTTTCATATGGACATAAGCCATGGAGGAATGTAACAGGGAAGTTTACTCTGAGAAGCTCAGCTAAAGTTTATTTTAAACCTCATCACAACAAAGTATTAAACTATCATGGTGCACTGAGGATAAAACAGCATTCTAGCAGGAGTTCACCCTTTTATATAACCACTGCTGGAGTCTCTGAAAATATTTCTGATGGACAGCAAAAGCTAGCACACTGTATATGAAATTATTTTTGGCCCTGTACAGCAGTTGTCAAAATGTGCAAACAGAAGCTCCAAACCTGGGTGTTTTGGGGATATAAACACAGAGAAATACCTCTGCAAGAGCAACACGGAGTCTCTAAGGTTGATTACTATTAAACATGAGGGTTTGGAAGGAAATAATAGTCCAGTGGTTCATCAAGGTGTCCTCTCACAGAGCAGTGTTTATCTCTGCTGCTTTAAAACCTTCAGATCTTTATAGTTGACTTCACCACAAGACAAATCCTCAGCCTGATCCTCACCAGATAAATCTCCACGTCTGACCCAGTGTGTGTCTATCTTTTGTGTGCAGCTGTGTGTGTGCGCGAGCACTTTGCTGCAGTCAAACAACAGAAGATATCAGTGCACACACGTCTCTTTTATCTGCCTGACACCCACCTCCAGGGTTGACTTCACTATTGTTGTTCAGATCACTGGAACACGTGCAGCAGTTGTGTGGTGACACAGGGATGTTACTTAGGTT